TTGCTATTGCTATTGCTATTGCTAATTAGTATAAAGCAGGGAGTGAAACTCAAGTTATGGCAATGTTACGTGATGTATTGGGACTTTTTTTCCCTTTCACTAAACGGCGGTGGGCAATGGCCAGCACATGACACATCAGCCTATGGGCCAGGAACTTGACAGCCCTGGTATAAAACAATGTGTTCACCAATCTACCTTTCCCACAAATATTAATTAACAGGGTTTCAGAAATGTAGTTTTTATCATGTTTAATGTTAGGCTACTTGGTCTTGCTACAATGGTTATCTGGGTCATACCAATTTCTTTATATCATTTTATCTTCTGACTTCAGGTGGTTTGAAGGCTTTAACTGGGAAGGTTTAAGAAAAGGTACATTGACACCTCCTATTGTACCAAGTGTGAGTATAGCTTTATTACTTGCTAAAATGTATATATTGGAATCCTAACTTAAGAAAGTTGCTGAATAAACCCATTGGAAAAACAAGCAGGAGCTCTGAGCCAAAACATAGAAATGTCTTGTTAATTTACATTAGCATTCCCACGTTTGCAGACCTCTGATTGACTTCATTTTCAGAGACGTGCAGTTAAGAGTGTATCTGAAGATCTCTTCTGACAATGAATCAGTGATGAAGCTTATAGTAAAATACAAAAGTTGAGGCTGAAATATATTTTAATGAAATCTTTACCTCTTTACTACCAAAAGTTCTTTGTTCGTCTTCCAACTTACATTGCCTCAGTTCTCCTTTTCATTTCTTCTATCACACCATTTTGTAATGTCAGATTAGATCACACCTTGTTGTACTCAATTGACAACTTGTCATCGTTTTTTTTCCAATTTGGCATAAGTTGCTGCCTTTCTTTTTCAAAATAAATGACTTTCTAGGTTGGCTTAGCGTGAAGCCTACAAGTCCCACAACAGTTGCCTTAATTTCCATGCAGAACCATTTTGATGCCAACAGTAAATATTGGTATCCATACTGATAATAGGGTCCTAAAAATACTATTGAAAGAAAAAAAGGAAATACCTATTCTTAACTTTGGCTTAAGTCTTTTCCTTTTGTTTCTGCTAAATTTGTAAAAAAGAAGAAGTGAAGATCAAGTGACATTCTGTTAAATCTGGATTATATACATGGATTTAAGAACATCTATTTCTATATCAAACACAACTCTTTTTAGCAGAAAGGAGTGATAGTTTGAGAATACTATATATGAAAAATATTCCTCTTAAATAAATGCAAAGGACAGCTTTCATATAATTGTGGTCTGTTAAAATTATTATTATGAGAGCGGTGGACTTGCTAATTAAATGGGTTAAATTGTGGTGGTGATTAATGTGATTGTTTTTCTTTCAATACACATTACTTTGCTACAACTTATACTTAGTTTAATTTTCTACATATTGTTTGAATTTTACCACTTACGAAATATTTCATGTCAGGTTTCAATATTATACCCATAGTGAATGGAATCTAAAATATTTGACTTTTATTATTTATTTTCACACATTCACAGTGAAATTCTTGAATTCCTTTACCCTGTGTTTCAACTAATAGATAGAACAGTACATAATACATAGGAATCGGTAAATTATGTTCAACCCCCTCAATAATAATGAACATATTCAAAAATAACTAATTCTGTTTGAATGAATGTACATTTCAATCTATTTAGGAATCAGGAAAGTCATTTTTCTGAAAATAGTAAGTTTTCTTCTGTCATTCAGTCTATTATCGTGACTCCCCCAAGCAATGACAATTTTCAAGAACAGCACAACAAGATTTAATTTATTTTGGAGGAGAGAGAATACTTGTGTTGTCTTTATTATATTGGCTTTTAATCATTAAACAGATACTTCACTACCGGTGCTATTATGAAAAAAAAAAATTATTCCTGGGAGACATACAAATGCAGATACTACTGGGAAACACTTATCATATTACTTATGCCTTGTTAATTTTTAATATTTTGAGTCCACTTTTCTAAAATATAAAATATATTTTATACTTATTATTTCTCAACTCAACATGTTCTAATTTGTTAGATTCCTTATTAAGTCTTCCATGTTCTTGCAAACAGATTTCTCCCAAGTCAAAAGCAGTTGACATTTATGTAATGAAACTACCATATTTAATTCAATAAATATGGGATTGTACTGTGTCAAGTTAAATGGAAAACATCAACAATTTGTCTTCCCACTTTCTAAACTTGTGTTGATCTTTTTTTAACTTATCTGTCACATGTCATAAACGAACACAGACCTTTTAGATGTGGACAAAGGCAGCAATATCTTTCTCCTCTGTCATTGCTTATATGCATTTTCTAAACAGCTTTACGCCAATTTTGTTTTTCACACATACAGTAACCTGCCATGCATCTGCATTAAATCCCAGCTTTTTAGATCAGTTCAAGGGGCTGTTAATATCATTAAGAAATCTTTACATTATTTTGTCAAACTCTCCATTCTCGTTAGGAAATACGAAGAAGCCAAACCCATTCATTGGAAGGTTGCTTCAGAATTACTTTCTAAATGTCTTATTCATAAAAAAAAATTATGGGGTGCCCATTATACCCTTTCATCTTTTCCCATCACTTTTTTAATATTATTTTTATTCTGAACAATGCCCCCTTCTTCTTTCACTTCTTTACTTCCTCTTTTACCCCTTTGGGTGTCAAGATACTCCCATTCACCGAATTATTTTTCACAGTACTACATAGCACGATATTATGAATGAAAACGTCAGAATCCTACATTTCTGAACTGTCTCTTAACTCTTACTGGCCAAGATGAATTGACAAGTGGTATAAAGAGCTCACCGTTGAAATCAGAAAATTGTCTAAAGATTCCAAATGTTGATTTTATTTATATGACACCCTTTTCCCCCCGAAGGGGACTCAGGGCGGCTCACAACTCAACCAGGGAAGGGGGATACAAACAGAAAATTAAAACGACACAAAAACAATACATAATTTAAAACACACAACAGTCATACCAATTCGAGACAGTGAAAGAGACAACACCTCTCTATCTTATTCTCCATTCGGTATTGAACCATTCTCTTAAGTATACAGTAAATCACAAGAT